ACTGTGCTGCAACCAAGAGAAAACAATCCAGGCCAGGAGTCAGTGAGAACAATAAGATGATCATAAAATATGTCTGTGGTAGGATAAATACACTTGCAGCACTAACCAGTTTCATGCTGTGGAAAAGAAAGGAGCATTAAAAAGAAGAAGGAAAAAAATAATAATTTGAGGGGAAAAATCCGGTTATTTCATTTGGATTTCTTTGAATACGGCAGCTTGTGTCGAGCAAAAAAGACCCGTCCAAAAATTTATCATTATCTGGCAGTATGAAATGTCATTAAAATAGTTCCATGTAACTACACTCTGGGGTGTATTAAAGAAATAATAGCCTTTTCAGAGCAGGGGGCAGCAGTTCATTAATAAAAGTAATGTCTTAGTTTAGGAACTGTGCAGGTGTGATTTGTCTTCATCTTTAATGGTACGCACTGATTAAGAAAGCAAACAGTGTGTGCGTGTGTGAGAGAGAGTCCAAATGTGGCTACACGCATGCACGCGCATCTGTGTGTACCCGCAGTAGTGTTGGTGCGCGCCGCAGGTGATTAGACCCTTTTCCAGAATATGTGTGCATGGTTGTGTTTGTGTGTGGGTCTCAGTGTGTTGGCAAACAGAGCTGACAAGACTATGAGTGATCCTTAACGTTGTTATTGACTCAGACTTTATTTATAGAGTGTGTGGTCCTGCTGCATGAGCTGCACACAGCGCCGCCCCTCCGAGGCCCGCGAGCAGACACGATTAATCAGAAGAATGTTATAATTAGGGTTAATACCCTCAGGCTGCATGAAAACACACACTCGCACACACAGAAACAACACTATAAGTGAACATGAACATAATGTATGAATGCATGTGGTCCACAAACACACACATATACACACACACACATACACAGAGGGGGCCCTGTGTATGTAAGCAGGCCGGATGGGTTGCAGAGGTTTTCGGAGCGGCTGGGCCGGCGTGCTGTTTGTCCAGAAACGCTTTGAGGCTTGTTCTCTTCATCGGAGAGGTTGTTAAACAAAAGTGAGTTTGTTACAGTAGCGGGGGGCCAGCGGGGGGGTATTAATACACACCAATGCAGATGTCTGAGCATTTACAGCCATCCGTGAGAAAGCCTGTTGTGTTCAGTGTCAAATCCAATGTCTGGTGATCCCCATTTGGCCGGGCCTATTTTGGTTGGAGGGTTCACATCAGCCCCCTTGAAAAGTACACATTTGTCTCCGAGTGCGCTAGTATTCTTCCGCCAGTGAATTACAGTCACTCTCTTTTTTTTTTACAGCTGTGGCAAAAAATAAACACAAAGACTCCCATTTAGCAGAACAACAAAAAAGAGACAAAAACAAGCAGCTATTTTATGAAGTTTTATTTCATTATAAATAGGAGTGATAATGCGCTCGTACACATGACATTATGTCATATCGCTTTGTCAAATAATACAAAAAAAATATATCAAATGAATGAAAGGACTGCTTCATTCTAATATAGACAGAAGGACAAAGCAGGAGTGCTCGTGACGACACTCTGCTATTCACAATTTCACGGATAAAGGATTTTAGTTCTTTTGCTTTTTTTTTTTAATGACGTTGCTGACACACAGGACGCTCGTGACAATAAATATGTCGGGAATGCATCGGAAAACTAATCAGCATTTCCTGCTTTTGTAAGACGGAAGTTTAAAAAAAACGTTTCAAACAACACAAAGTAATAAAAAAATACAATTTTGGCTTTGTCATTCCTTCGTTTGCTCTATATACTGGCTTTCCCTTCACTCAGTCCTTTCAAGGCCCGAAGCCCTAACAAATGTGGTCCCCTCAGAGTGCTCTTTTAGCTATATTAGCAGTGTTTCCTATTTGTTTTGGACCCGAAAGCCTTCAAAGGCACATGTGTTGCTCCTTTGCAGAGTCCCAAACTCGATCCAGAGAATGACTTCAAGAGGCACATTTGATTTTCTTATTGTTTTAATGCTGAGGTTGACTCTAAGTTATGTGATATTGCACTTCTGGTCAGCTGGGAGAGTGGCTGTCTTTAGTCTAAACTCTTTTGCTTTCTTGCTTTCTCAAGTGTCTCCTGGTCGTGACTTGTGACCTGCTGGATTTTTCTAGCCAGGAGAAGATCTTTAGAGGGTTTTTTTAAACACTGTGATCGATCTAGCTTGTCGTCCCCCCTCCCGTTCCGCACGCCCTTTTTTTAAAGCCACTTCTCTGCCACCCTCTTCTACTGCGCTCTCATCTGTCACTTTCCTTAAAGTCACCCTTTGACCTCTTTAAAGTTTCTCTTTAAAACGACAAAAGGCCTCACCGTCTGAGACATCAATGAGATAGAAAGGAGGGAGAGAAGGCAGAGGGGGAGGGAGGCGGGAGGAATGTTTGAATTAACTTTCTCTGCCGTACAGCTGTGGTGTACATTAGACTTTCTGACACAATAAAAACCCACGGATTCGTTAGTTCGAGTTTGTTTTCCTTCTCTCTGGAATTTCTTTCCATGTGTGGGATGCTGAGATGTCAAATAAATGCAACAAAATCAACAAAGCCATTTTCTTCCCCCATACAATTTAAGGATTAATTTGGGAATCTTCTAGGCGCTCATGTGGTGCAGATACGTAAACATGGTAGTCTGTGATGATAGGTCGGGGTTTTCTGTCCTTACAGGCAGAGCTGGCCGTACAACTTCATCCTCGTGACACAGCAAATGGTCCGAACTCAACGACAGCGAGCACTGGAGGCTCCGTCGTTCATCTAAAATAGCAAAGTTTGTGGTTCATAAAGAGTTTTTGCTCCTTCTTGTGGTCCCTTCTTTTTGTTTTTTTGTCCATTTTTCCTCCAAAGAGAATTAAGTAACATCCTGTAGTAGACAGTAAATGGTAAAACAAATTTGGTCCAGATATTCAAATATTTCTGTCCCTACGTACACACTCTCTCTCTCTCTCTCTCACACACACACATACACGCACACACACACACTCACACACACACACACACCCACACACACACACACACACACACACACAAACACACTCTTGTGGGGCCTTCAGTGAATCTTGAAGCTGCTCATCAGGTGATTTCATGCCTCAGATAAGGAAGGGTACCTGTAAAAAAAAAAGAAAAGAAACAAAGGATGAAACAGTTGTTGAATTATTACCTGGAAAAAGTAAATTTAAAAAAACAAATTAAGTGGAAATACAATAAAAGAGATATATGGCTGCAATAAATTTTGGGCATGTGTTTTTACGTCCAGTTCTGCCAACATATGGCTGTTGTTAGCATCGCATGTGACAACAGTAGTTTGTGGTGTTGGGTCAGCGCAGAGAGATGTGAGAAGTGCAGGTATGTGCAGAGGGAAACTAAACTATAAACTAATTATTAAAGTGAAATTTAATGGAAGAATTTAGATGTAGATCATGTATTTAAACACCAATAATAATATTATTATTATTATTATTAATAATAATAATAATAATAATAATAATAATAATAATAATAATAATAATAATAATAATAATAATAATAATAATAACAATAATAATAATAATAGCATGCTGGTTTAAATTCTTCTCCCGACTCCCAGAAACTACATTTTGTAATTAGCAGATTTTTTTTTTATTTGTGTTGCACTTATTTATTGAGTGTGATGTACAAACAGGGCAGAGAATCCCAGAGCACCTCGCAATAATGTTACAATATGTGGTTATCAATGTGACACAGAGATGTTGTAATACTCAATACACTACAAGACTGTTATTAAATATATATCCCAATATCTTAGAAACTACAAAAAAGGCCTTAGAATGGTCACTTTAATGTCTCTAATTTTGTATACACACATAAACCAAATGGTCCATTTATTAGCTCTCAGATTATTTTTCCAGTGCTCTGATCTTTTTAGTAGTTTTTTCTTTTCTTCTGTAAGCCTGTCAACTGTCCTTGCCATTCACTCACACTCACTCATCGGACAGAGAACAGAGAACAGACAGAGAATTATAAAGTAGTGATTCTGATAAGTCTAATTGTTTGGAGAGGCTATTTAGAGCCGCTGCAAGTTTCATTGAAAACACTGATATGTGCCGCCAGCGGAATCAGGTAGCTATGTTGCAATACCAGTATTTCAGTATTATTGTATCTATATGAAAATCAAAAGTGTCTAATTGGCCGCAGCTTTTTGTTATAATAGAATTTTATCATTAATTTTTCTCATTGCACCTGTGTGTATAGGCTCCTCTATAACCGAGTATGTATGTTAAAAACCAAATGCTAAGGAACAAACTGGCTTTGTATTTTTGAGGGCCGATTACATATGAAAGATATAATGGAAATAAGATTTAATGAACAGAGCACAGAAAACAGTAGCTCTGAAGATTTTTGAGAAATGTCATCGGTTCAACAAACAAAGACGTTTTTATGGGTCGATGAGCGCCCTGGGTCTCCGTGACTTGTTTGTTATGGAACAGTTTTCAGACTAATTCTGATTGGAGGCCTTTCCTAATACACAGGAAGAGATGTTTTATGTGAGATGTGTCCATTTTTTCCCAAAGTGAGCTGTAACTGGCACCACAGCCTTACAGGTAAAGAAAATGACAGGTGACCTTTGCAAAAAGCACCACAGAAATGTCTGCTTAGCAACAGAGACATTACATAAATAAAACCAAACAAGTGCTTCATGGATTACCGCTGTAATTTCCGTGAGGCGGTCCAGTGAGGGCTAAAGTGTTGTCAAAATGTGCAACAGTGTGTGGACCAGTTTTTTCATACTGCTCTGGAACCTGGAGCAGCACTGTTCAACACTGCTTCCCCAGCTGACCTCAGTCCTAGCACCTGTTTCTAATCGCCGCCCTGCCAGAGGCTATTAGGATCCGTCCACCCCCAGAAAGGACCTTTCCTCTGCAGATCCAAACCCAACCACACACCGGCTATCCAGTCACACTGATTAATCACATCAAGATGGACTGCTCAGCCTTGTATCGCTGCCGAGGTGCGTGTGTGTGTGTGTGTGTGGGGGGGGCTGCATTTGGAGGTCTGTGTGTATGTAAGCGCACAGAGCTACATGTTAGCGGTTCATCATGTGTGTCGCACTAATTCTTTATTCTGTCCGCTTTAAGATATCAGACCGAGATATTTCATTAGACATTTGCTGCTATCGGATATTAAGTTAGATATTCATTTGATACCTGCCGCCCCACAGAGCTACACAGAGTCAGACTTGTTGGACCGTTGCCATGCTCTTTGAAGGACCCAGTTGTATTGAGGTTGCCACAAGGTCAATGGATGAATCTGATTGGTCAACCCCCTGTGGAGCAAAATTGGAAACGGCGGCCGCTGTAATCACGCTGTGACGGAAAACGATGTTGCCTTCCAAAGTTAGAGGGAGATGTGTTTGAAGTTGATTTTAACCCTTCAGGTAACAGTAATGCGAAGTGAAAAGACCCTCACTCCAGGTATTCTCTGAGGACAAACAGTCTGAGGAGGGCTCCGCTGCTGCTGTCCTTTACCCTGATGCAAGCTGACTCTGCAGTGTACTTCACCGCAGAGTTCAGTCTCAGCACCGGCCCAATCTCCTCTTAGATGGAATCAGATCTGCACAATTAACCCCAACACTTGAAACTGCATAACTGGACCCGCAAAATGTTAACAAGCAGTGCTACAGCTACCTGCGTCCTGTATGTACAAGAGCGTTTTTTTTCAATTTGTGGAAGGAAAGGAACCAATCTGTGGTTACAGGGTAGACCTGAGACCACTGGACTACCAGCGTGCTCGATAATCATACACTGTAACGCCTGATTTGGCTCAAATGTTTTCATATGTAAGTAAAAGGCCACAATAAAACCAGTCAGCGGTTTGGACGAGAAAACTGGAGAGTTACTGAAAGCCATACGCTAGATTCAAAATAAACACAACTCTGTGGTTTTTGTTGTTCTTTAGTTACATGATCTCAAAGTCCTAAGAAAAGCATAGACATGAAAATACACCACATTTTACTGCAGGATCCTATTTTTCATTCCTCTGTATTTATTTATTCATACTTTTCTGACTCCGCATGTTTTAATGCTGTACACACAAAACACAAAATCTCTTTATAAAATACAACTAATTTCTAAGATTTTACAAAGTATTTAAAGTCTGATCTGTCAATGTATACATCTATAATCTTAAAATACTGCTTACTTTTACACCTTTATTAGACAGTTAAGTAGGGAAGAAAATACTGCTTACCTACTGAGCTACACCGGTGCTCACAGTCAGGGTTTTTGAAATACAGGCTTTTTACTTGTAATAGAGTCAAGACTGACTACTTTTTCCATAACACATAAGTGTGTCTGTCTTTGTGTTATTGTTATCTTTTTTTTTTACACAATTGCATTAAAAAAAACTGCAAAAACAGGAACCATGTCTAAATAATGGCATTTTAATGCATTATTAACTAAAAGGTAGGAATAAAAAAGGTGAAGTTTATTGACCTTACTTTGTCCGTACTGGCTGTACTGGTAGGATGCCACGTGGTCGACGGTGTAGCCCGGTGAGCTGTAGGTTGGGGGGCAGTAGGACTGGGAGCTTGGCAGTGAGGGCAGAGCTGACATGGAGGGAACGCTGGTGAGACCCTCCAAGCCCTTGATGTGATCCATCCGCTGGCTGCAGCTGGCAGCCATGCCGGCCGGCGGCTCGAGGCCGCCTGTCAGTGGAGAGATGGCGTAGTCACTTTGAGGCTGATGCGGCACACCGCCAGGGTTCAGAAGACCCATCACCTGATTAGAAAAATGCAAAGAAGAGGAGAGAAATGAAAATCTGATTAGTTATGTGTTCGTTTTTAAATACGAGTACTGAGACCGCCTCTAACGTTGGTAGGATCTGAATTCAATTCAATTTTATTTATACAGCGCCAAATCACAACAACAGTCATCTCAAGGCGCTTTATATTGCAAGGTAGACCCTACAATAACACATACAGAGAAAAACCCAACAATCATATGACCCCCTACAAGCAAGCACTTAGGCAACAGTGGGAAAGAAAAACTCCCTTTTAACAGGAAGAAACCTCCAGCAGAACCAGGCTCAGGGAGGGGCGGCCATAATGACATCTGAATAATGTTAGTGTGGCAGGTTATTCATCTTGGTAATAAGCGGAAGACCATATATGTGTCACCTCCCAGTGGTTTGCTCAGATAGGTGTAATCACTGGAACATAATGCGTTATCAGCAAGGCAAACTTTAAAATTTCAAAGTGATTTTCAAAATTTCAGTGATTAGCACCTTAACCCCTATTTTCTAATACCAAAGGGGTGGAAGACATGTTTCCTTTTTCTTTTATTCCTTTATTATATTCTTTTATCCTGATAAACCACTATAATAGCTTAAATATCTGTAGTTTCTCAAGTACAAAACACCACAGACACTAAGACCAACACCAACCCAAAGTAAGGAAATCCCCCTGTCGCATACATCAAAAGGCTGCCAGCGAGCCTGTCCCGTACTGAGATAGCACCAGAAAGGAAGAATTAAGCAATTTGTTTCTGATCCTTGGCTCTACTTATTCTAAAATTCCTTTTTGACACTGCTCCAAAACCCATGGCATAAGATAACAACTTATCTCCAAGAGAGATATGCTGACAAAGACAACACAAAAGAAAGGTCTGTGTGAGCTCAGCTCCGTTCAAACCCTCCGAATAGATTTCCATGTTCAGATCTCCGTTAGCTCTTGACCTGGTCTTTATTAGCGACCAGATAATCAAATTTGGGGGGAATAGTCCTTGGCCAGCAAAGAATGGAAAAGAGCTGCGGGGCGAAGTGTTTCAACTGGCTTCAAAACAGACCTGATACCACGACTCTCTTCGCTCACTCTTTGAATTTACCTGTTTGTTAACAAAATCCACGGTAAACCATAAATAAGGAATAGACTGACCTTATCACTTATGAAATTAACTCTAACTGAACCTGCTACCTCTAAATGTATCATATCCCACCTCCTTCTCAACCACGCAAAGGCCTCAAGGCTCTTCCAGTTGTCCTAATCAGAAGCAGGTACACCACTCTGCGTCCTCCTGGTCCTCTAAGTGACATATTATTCTACATTCACATACACACATGGTCCTGCTTAAATCATTTCCCAAGTAGGGGAGGTGAGTGGAGGAGTCCAAGTTGATTTTGAGAGGGGAGTTGTGTTTCCTCCTGTGCCTGGTAACATTTTCCTAAAGAATTAACCTGCATTTGAAAAGTTCGATTTAAGCACACAGAGATCGGGGAGACAACACGGCCGAATCAAACTACAACGAGCAGGAATACCTGCCCCGTGAGTGAATGAATTCTACTCTGATGACTTTCATGCTTTTGCTGTTTTAACCAAACTTCTAGCTACCATCCTTCCCCTTTCTCCCTACCTCACTAGGGGGCTGCCCCATCCAGGGTGTTTTATTTTGGAGCGCTGCCGTTGCCAGCGGCCTAAATCAGGGTTTAGCAGGGAAGAATGTCGGGATGGGGGAAATGTCTAAGATGGGGCATTCCTTCCCGTCCGTACGAAATATATACAAATAAAATTAGAACCTTTGCTTTCGCGTGGAAGAATGTTGAAGCAAACATTTTAAGAATGCAATCATGAGAAGGCTTCCTTGCAGCTGTAGTTTAAGGTTCGGTGCGTGCACATGCACACATGACCACGCTGTCTACGTGTGCACAGTATTTTATTTTGTGCACGTCTTATCTACGCAGGAGAACGGCTAAACATCTAAAAGTATGTGTGATGTATGCAAAACTAAAAGCTCTTCCACATGCTCCCTCAGGTTACCTGCGTATATTCAGATCATTTTACTATCAATGCTGAGATCAGCCAAATATTAGCACTGATCTATTTACTAATGTCAGTGGCTGATATTTCTTTGCTATATCGCATCCTTCTTGTTCTGGCTAAATGTTAAAACATATTAGAATCAAGAGCTAAAAAGTTTTAAAAAGTTCAGTATTCTTTAACGGTTGACGTGTCTTTTTTTCTTTGGCACGGAGCTGGAAATTATAATAATAAGAAATATAAACTAAACTAAAAGATAAAATAACGGCCAAATGATTATTTTGAACATCGGTGTCCGTGTCAGCCCAGAATTACATAATTTGTGCATTCCTAGCAAAATTACTGTGAGTCATTTGTGAATAAATTGGCTTTAGTTCTTTGCATGATGTATTTGAAAATCCTAAAAAATGCAGTAATAAATCCTCCAATCTAAACACAAGATTAAAGAGTTAACTTAGACATGCCACTTGACCATGACATGTAATATTTGTGTAAAAGATGTTGCAAAATCCTTAAGTGATCCTCTGAATGTGATGGAGTTGATCAATTATCTACACTGTGTGTGTGTGTGTGTGTGTGTGTGTAATTATGTGAATCTGCGTGTATATCTTTGCGAGTGTCTCCGTCTTCACACTGCTGTGGCCTCCACCAGGCTAAAATCTCATTTTCTGCCTGTTAGGCTCTCTGACTCCTCTGTCTCCTCTGCTGCGCCCTCTGTCTAGATGCAGAGACCTTGGGACTTCATGCCCGATAATTGACTGTAATTGTCTTTTCACTTCTCATTTGTCACACGTTCACTTGTCCTCTGTGCTTCTAGAGTCTTCGCACTTATCTCCCTCAGCAGCAAGTGACCCATCAGCCACTGAGCGGAGAGCCTTGAAGCTATGGTGCAAACTGGAATCAGAAAGAAGTAACGCTGCTTTTTTATGTTTTTGCAACTTGGTCGAGACTTTTAAAGCTCACGTCACATGCTTCTCAACTTGAGTTCAACTCTTTGAAGTCATGTTCAGATTTAATTCTCCCCAGATACAGTATGTAACACGATCTCCATCTCCCAACCTAAAAACATCAAGTCAGAAGAAGCACCTTCTTAATTATGCTGTTTCCCTTGAACTAACCCATGACAGCGCAGACCCATTTTTACTGTCAGGAGGGTCAAAGTTCAAACTTTAACAGGAACTTTTTTCAATGTGTAAAGGGGGCGGTGACACCGTGGGTTCTTATGGGTTAATTTAATCCCAAACTAAATGTCACTATGTGTAATTTAATATAAGAGTCAAGGTTTTTATATACCCCAAAAACAAGAAAAAATAAAAAGAACAAGTGAAGCAGTCTTACCTCACTGATTAGTTTGTTCCTTATTCTCTAAAAACAAAATCAAGAATCCAAGAACGCCGGTGCTTTTTACACTGCTTGATATAAGTTCCTGTTTAATGTCAGTAATTAATCACCACGCATACCTCCAAATATTTCTACCTTGTGTCTCACCTGTGGAGAGAGCCCATTCCCTATGGAAGAGTTCATGGGATTGGTTGGTGCTCCAGGGCTCACAAAGCTGTCTGAGTAGCCTGAGAAGGAGTGGCGTCCGGAGGCGAGGCAGTAAGCAGAGCCTCCTTCTCCTTGTCCGCCGCCACCGGAGGCCTGGTGGCCCGAGGAGGGAGGCAGAGGCTGGGGGCGGTGCACCGTGCTGGGTGGCTCTGACACTACTGGAAGCAGGAAAGATGGAGTTAGAGTTAACATGTTTGGAAGAACATTTGGGAGAAGTGATTTGGATGCCTGAAAGTGAAATTAAAACTATAACATATCCTCCAGGCAGACTTCAGAGATCTATACTGAATTTTCACTTAAGTAAAAGCAAAACTGATGCTGTCAATATAACCTTCCACGTGAAAAATGCCAGAATAAAAGATATTAAAAGTATATTTTTAATACCAACATAATATATAGGAATTTCGGAAAACAACATTTTTTATATATTAATTTGAAAAAGAACAACCCACTAGCACGACACCAAGAGCACTGCATTCAAAATTTAACCCTACCTTGGGCTATGGATGAGGGGGGGTAGCTGCTGTCAGAGAGCTGGTAGGGCGGGATGCTGGACATGGCTGATGGTGGGAAACCCCCTGGAATAAGGTGATTAAATGCCATCAGTTGATTGGCTCCAGCTTGCTTCCTCCATCTTGCTCGCCTGTTGCTGAACCACACCTAGAAGACATCACAATGATGATGTTCAGTCAGTGTGTGTGTGTGTGCTTCCCTAATGATTGCAGTTTGGTATTTAGCCCTGCAATCTTACACAACCCATCTACTACAGTAGAATCTACCTTATAGGTAATAATGTAACACCTGTACAAGCTGTAGTGATGATTACAAATATTTTGAATGGTACAAACACAAACATATTCACAAATACACGGAGAAACATTTTCAGGGTGTGAAGTTGAAAACGAAGGTGGGAAACAATGTGAGAGAAAAAGTCTGCGTGTGCGTGTATAACACGGCTGGTTGAGTTGACATACTGTGCCCATATGGACGGAGCTCATGCTGGGAGTGTTTACACTTCACATATGGAGCCCATGGAGGAGAATTTACTGGACTTCACATAAGAAATAGGAAAGTACAGATTGGGCCCCTGGGAGCAGAGGGTAAGTTTGTGCTATTGTATGGAGCAAAGAGAGATCAGCAGGTTGCCTTTAAATGGTTTGAGTGTGTATAAAGCAAAGTTTACGTCTGTTTCAGAGGGATGTTTAATGTATGGCAATGTTAGGTCATGGCTTTCATGGTTCTGTAGGGCTGAAAAGCTGAAAAAGAGAGAGAAAAATTTTTTTGTAGATCCTGACCGTGCACGCATGTGCCTGCTCATACCTGCACCCTGGCCTCCGTGAGCTTGGCCCTCTGAGCGAGCTCCTCTCTGGTGTAGATGTCAGGGTAGTGTGTTCTCTCAAAGGCCCGCTCCAGCTCTTCCAGTTGCTCTGCAGTGAAGGTGGTCCGACTGCGCCGCTGCTTCCTTTTCAGCGGCAGATCAGGCTCTGACTCTACATCTGAACCCTCATCTGAGTGACTGGCTGCTCAAACATAGGAGAAAATAAAAGAAGACAGCCTTAAGAACAGGTCCATTAGTCTTACCTTATGACACATTGAAAGCCGAATTATGGTCTCTCTAGAAAACATAAAGCGAACACCTGAATTCCTGTTGCTGCACAAACCAACTGAGATTAAAGTCTAAAAACCTTTATTTATGATAAGGAAGAGATATCACTTTCAGCAGGATTGGGAAATGCTCACTTATTTGCCATCTGTTGTCCTTTGTTTATGTTGCTTATAGAAGATGTGTGTGTGTGTGTGTTGGGGGGGTTCAACTTCTTTACACACCCACACAATCACACACACAAACAGCCAAACAGACCTCCATTCAGAAGGAATATTCCAAGCCTAAGGAATAATCCCATCGGACATGATTCCCAGAGCACCACAGGGGGACCGGTGTACTAAAAGCCACACAAAAGGCTAATTTGGATCCAGGGGCCATTCTTCGAGTGTGTGAGGGTGTGAGTGTATGGACAGTAGCCTGAATGGCCAGAAGCAAGCTGACTCGATGAAAGGCAAACTGTCTTTTCAGTCAGGTGATTGCCGCTTTATGATCCAAAGGGACGCTATGCAGCAACTGCTGTTAACAATGTCTCCTTTTTCCTGTCAGTCGACATGCACACAACTACAAGTCCCTCAGATACAAGTCAGTGAAGTGCCTGCTGTAAACTACGCTGTGTGATTTTATAATGGTGACAAAACATTGGATGACATGTGTCGGTTTGATTAAAACTAACCCATAAAAAGACTTATAATTAGAACAGGGCTGAATGTAGCACTTATAACACTGATATTGGGAGGAAAATGTGAATGTGTATCATGCCTGGTTGTGTGACGTAATTCACCGAACAACAGATAGATTACTCACTGACTCAGTCAATGAATAATCTGCCTGTTTGAAATGTATTATTACAAAAGCATCCCCAGATTTTTTCAGTAAAAGCTTCATGACTACAAAGTCAAAATGGATGAGAAACATTTAGAGAATCCAGTTTTCATCGGTCAAAAGTAACAATTTTATGAATGAAAAGAGAAGAGTGAGCATATATAACAATGACCGTGTGAGTCACAATCTATCGAAGTTAATGCAGTTGGAAATGAAGCACGATAAAGCTAACATCAGTTTTACTCACTGTAGTAGCAGGTGTCTTATTAAGTGAACATGCCAAGCTGTGAAAAATGGGACCAGATCATTTTTTTATAAATAAAGTTACTCCTTGACTAAACATGTTGGAGAACTTTTTCAAAATTAATAATTTACTTTAAATATACTATCACGTTTCCTTGTTATTGTTGTTGTGACAAAAAGACTATAGACTGTGTGGAAGTATTTCTGTCTTCATCTGACTGCTTGGTCCGCAGCTGGAAACTAGTTAAATGTATCCAATCATACAGTTGTGTCAGTCAGGTCAGCCAGTGAGAGAGCAGAGAAGATGGGCTTCACACTGTCAAAGTATTCAGATTACTTTGTAATAATAATATTGTTAGTTGCTAATTAGCTCTACTTCATATTCTTTAGCAGAGAAGCAGAGTCCTGGAAATACAACAGGTAGCTTTTAGCTAAAGCTCTCATTCTCATATGCTACCAAAATGAACTCACTATGGAATTAGATCAAATCAGTAAACTCAGAGATAAATCGACAACAGGGTACACGTTCTTTGGACAAAACTGAATGCAAAGGGTTACTTTCCTCAATACTTTTTAACAAAATCATTGAATTCAACAGGTGTTTTTAGTTGTTTGTTTTTTTTAAGTAATCCTGCCCAGCACTGTTGATCGAAAACTAACATTAAACCTTATCAACTGCAAATCCTCCCATTAGAGAAGCTCTGATCACTGAACTGTTTGCCATTCCTGCTTAATATGTTACACAATTTTATTTTTAAAAATTTACGCAAATTCTAGCTTTTTCACCCAGTGTGATCTTCAGGCTGACTGAGCCTGCTGATATCATGTGTCTTGACAGCTTTTGTGTGTTTTTACTTTTCCTCACTGTCTCAGATTAGTATTAATTCCATTGTGAGCTGCGCTCTATAAGCCAGCAGTTTGGGTTTTTTTAACACACTTACTTCAAACACTTCATTGGCTCCCTTCTAAGTTCACCAAGGCCAAAGCGCCCACTTTTTGTGTTACACTTAATTAATTCCCCCTCAGCACAGGGGAAGTTTTGTGTGCAACACTGTATTAGTTCCCCCCTCAGAAGCAACAATAAAATACAAGAGAATCCAAATAGCTCAGGGCCCCTCATGTGAAACTGATCCTCTCTGCCCCCCTTTGGCGATTTTCTCTTCACAACACCAATAGCAGTGGGAGTCAACTTAACATGCATTAGGAGCAAATTGGTAAAGAAACATTCAAGCTTGAGGGAGGCAATAAGTAAAATATTTTCAAAGAGGCAGCAAGAGAAATGGAGACATTGCCTTAAGCTGCTGCTGAATATTTCTGCAATTTTGTTCTCTATGATTTCCAGCTCTTCTTCAGTCTCCCTGTGAGTTTAGAAATTCGCCATCATAAAAAGACTGCAGCGCTTCTCAAAGACACGATCGTTCGAAACTGCGGCAACTGTGGTTTCAGATAACAGCCGTTTTTGGAACGTCTTACATTTGCTCGTCACAGTTTTGGAGGCGAAAACTCTCTGGATTTGAGGGCCAACTTTTTTATATGACTAGAGGACTTTGTGCTTCAGATGGCGAGGAAGGAATTCGGGGTGTGGGGTATGTGGCACTTTGGAGTTTTTTTGGACAGGACGGCTGAAAAACAAGAGACGAGGCCTTCTTTTAGCCTCCCCCCTCCAGTTCTTGCGTGGAGGAGGGCCACAAGGAATGCCCCCAACACCACCACCTCCCCCACTCCACCCCAGCATGCACGTTCCTCTGCATTTCACAGGGATTTGGGTTTTGGGAAAGCTGAGGCAGCCCGGGAAAATCCTTAATCACTTTGGAATTACCTATCGGTTATGAGCGCTACCGGGGTTTCAAGAACTTTTCAAAAGAAGCGACAGTGTGGCACCTCTTAAGTCTCGGGAATCTAGTCGAGATACGATCCTGCAGAGAGGACCAAAGCTGGCTCGTTTCATTTCGATTCGTTGGATTGTAGTATCAGTTGATCTTAAGATCTAACGAGATAACTGTGTTGGTCAGTGCAACAAAACAATAGCAGCACCATGCAGTGACAGGTGAAAGAAAGTGCTGAGAAAACATCAGACTTGAGCATTTTTCACAGCAGCGTAACACACACTTTTTCGGACCTCCTTAAACAAGCACCACCTTCTCCTCCCTCTTCTCTCTCAGTCGCTCTCCCTCCTTCTCACCCTCTCTCGCACCCTCTCTTTGTCTCCCATCTCTCTCTCTCTCTCTCTCTCTGTCTTTTCCACCCATATTTCTCCCTCTGACTCTCGGGCTCTTTGTTGCTCCACAGAGTTGAGGTCTTTGCCGGCAATTTCCACGCTCCATCTGTGGAATCCGTCATGGCTCCCTCAGCCCTTCACAGTGGAGGGCTGTCACCTGCCCCACGGGGGAGCTTGGAAAGGGCTGGGGAGGGGCATGAAAAGGCTTCTCAGAGGGCTGGAGGGGTTGGGGTGGGATAGATGGGGGTATAGCCGGGGGCATTCTAACCCCCCCACCCCCCAAAGAACACCCCTTCTTCCAGAGGGAACTGTAAGAGCACCTGAGGGGGTGAGAAGGGAAGTGGAGGCAACAGGGGCTGTTGCTGTGCTTGTAAATGTACCCATGGGGATAGTCTGTCTGGGCATCTGTGTTTGCTTGGTTGTTGTTGGTAGACGCAAAGTACATCCACGGTTTTGTCTTTTAATACAGTGTGCCCTTTCGAACAATTTCCCCAGATTTTATTTTTATGTGCTCTAAAAGATCCAAACCTCTTCTGTCTCTTCCCACAGGTCTCCTTTGTTTTAAGCAACAGTGCAGCTGGTTGTAAAATGTCATTTAAAATCAAAATGGAGCCTCTCTCTTAAGTTGTGTGAGGTTTGTTTATGACATGTCTTTGGAAAAGACTTTAAACTGAGTTTACTGTGAATGTTAGTGGTGAAAAACAACAATGTGAACACATTTGGGAGAAGACACTCGTGGCATATTAATAAATTGTCATTGTGAACTTAAACTTTACTTGATTGCTGTTTCTTTCACAATAACATTATATGTATAAATGTTTTCTGACTGGTAAATAAATGGTTTGCATTATCTGGATGGTTATTGTCAAGTTAAAACAGATTTTTTTGTAAACAAACATTAAACATTAGATATCTATTTACAGTAAAATGTCAGTTATGGCCGCTCTGCTGTCATTGTAACTGTTATTTATTTGTGTATTTAATCATTTTGGTCAGGTTGGGGTGTTAAAAAGCCCATTCCAAACATTAACTCTGCAGGCTAAAAAATTACAAGGACACTCATCATATTAAAATATGACACCAAGGGTTCCTGCTGCACTTACATATGAGGATTTAAGCCTAAGACTGGTCCCATTAAAACACTATCAGGTAGTATTAGATGCACAGGGAAAGAGGACAGGCTCACTGTCCAGTAATGAGTCCTTTATAACAAAACTACAACACTTGGTAATAATTAACAGTGACGGTATAGTGTATCTAATGTCATCTGATGTCATCAGAATGTAATTGTTCTTGATGCGTATCATCTGTGATCAAATTCATAAAGCAAATTTTTTTTCACACACTAATGACATCTGACAATGACATAATTACTACAGTTTGTAAACTTTGCTACGTTTTGTTAACAATAAAATTTGCATTAACGTTATAAATTTAATGAACGACAGTCAGTGCCTTTTATACTGTTATTTGGAATAGTTAGTGCAAATCGACTTTTGTGTCTAGAAATAAAGTCTTTGTGGCAATCAATTATTACAAATGTTTTGCATGTAAATATATATTTACAACAATAATTTAAAGAATCAGAAGTCAATATTACATTATCTTTTAGTTTGCCTTTCAAATAATTA